CACGGTCCGCTCTGCGCTGGCTTCTCCAGGACTGAGGAGCTGCGGTGGACCGGACCCACTGGGCAGCGACCACTACCTCTCTGGAACAAGTTTGGCTTTGAGAAGTGCTTTGGAGCTGCTGCGTGGTCCAGCCACTGAGCTGTCTCCCGGTCTCACTTTCCATCTCAGTCTGTCCCTGACAGCCTCACAACAGCCCCGTGAGGTCCAGCCCCTTAACCACCAGGCACCAGCCGGCCCCGCGGCTTTCACTGAAGCATTTTAGACACGAGACGGTAAAACGCGGTGGTGCGAACACACTCATTGCCACTTACGTTTTACCCAAGTTGTGTCTCTGGCAAAAGTGGGATAAATAGGATGACCCCTTCAGACATCTAAGGTCAGTTTCCAACAGTACTTGTAGAAAACACTTCCGAGGTTTTCATCTCTAAGGATAATTACCAGGTTCTAGAGACCGGCCAGCGACTTCCGCCTCGCCGGCACAGGAGGGCGCGCTTGGGCGCTGGGAGTGCAGGGGCGTGTCACTGGGGCGGCCTGTCCTGTGGGGGCTGCAGAGCAGTGGCCCGAGACCCAGCCGCTACGGCCCAGGCTTGTTCTTCAGCCTTGGGTTCCCCAAGAGCAGAATGCCTTGAAGTCCAGCGCCTGCAGGGCTGCAGCGGGAAGGGTCTGGCGGGGGACAGTGATGGAGGGGGCTGAAGCTTGAAAGGAACCAGAGGGGATATGGCAGATGGAGGAGGAGGAGGGGCTGATGCAAGGGAGAGAGGAGGCCTTAGGGTCAGGTGGGCAGGTCTGCGGCTTCTAGAGGCCAACCAGCATGGTCCCAGAGGAGGAGGGCAGGGCTGCCGGAGCAGAGAGCCAGGGGCAAGGAGAGCCCACGGGGCTGAGGAGGGCCAGCAGGGCCGAGGGGAGCAGCTGGGGTTGAAAGTCTTGTGCCAGCTGCCTCCCAACCCCAATGGGAGAAGCAGGACCCAGCAGGGTGCAGCGGGGCGTGAGGGCGCATGTAGACACACACATCTGAAGATCAGCTCCCTGTTGAGCTGACTCCTGACCATAGCACTTTCACAAGGCCACCTTACTGCCCTAGTACCAGGGCCCAGCAGGTGGCGTGGTGGTTAAGGTGCTAGACTCCCATATGGCTGACCATGGTTTGAGTCCTGGACCTGGTGGCTTAAAAATCACAGTGGGTAAGCTGGGTGAGCTGGCAGGTGGCAGGGGGGTTCGAGGAGCCGGGACCCCACATGGTTGACCGCGGTTCAAGTCCTGGACCTGGCAGCTTGCTTTCTCACTTTCTCTCTCACTCTTACTCTTGCTCTGTCTCTTTCTGGTCAAAAAAATAAATAAAACAATTCTTTAAAAAAAAAAAAAATCACACTGGGCCTGGTTGCAGCTGGAGTGCTGGTTAAGGGCTCTGAATACATGACCAAATATGGTTTGAGTCCCGGACCTGGAAGGTCGCTTTCTCACTTTCCCTTTCTCCCTCCCTCTCTCTGGTCAAGTTAAAATAAATAAATAAAGTTAAAATAATTTTTTTAAGAAGTCACACTGGGTGCCTGTGTGCCCAAAATCCTGAGAGGAGGACGGGAGGAAGCACTGCAATGGCCACCCCCGCAGGGATTTCTCACTCCCTCTGCAGTAAGCACACGTGCCTATGGCAGAAACCTGGAAGAAGGGGAGAAAGGGGAACATCCTGCTACCAGGTTTCAGGTGGGCCCCAAGCTTTTAACCCTCAGCTCTTCCAGGGCCCGACCGCGGCGACACAGTATCAGGGTGCCACTGCACAGTTGGTGCCTCGTGAGAGGCCCAGGCTCCGCTCCTGGCACAGTAGGTGGGAGCACCTGTCGCCTGGGGAGCCCAAAGTCTGGCCAGGGGATCAGGCCTGGGCCGTTGAAATACTTGCTATCTGCATCTCCTCCTGCAACCCTCATAAAAACGATACCTTTAGCACTGGCTCTATGGCCTGGTGGTTAAGGTAGCCAGATCCCACAGGGCCAGGTGTGCGGTGGAGAGACACTGGGTGCACCCAGTGTGTGCCCTAAAACCCCAAAGGAGGGAGATGGAGAAGGGATTGTGGTGTGGCCAGCCCTGCGGGAAGTGTTTTCCCCTCTCCAGCTCCCTTCTCTCTCCCCTTCCCTCGCTCTCTGTCTCTGGTGAGTATGCACGCGCACGTGCGTGCACACACACACACACACACGCACACTCTACAAAAAGAAAAAAGGTAACTTTTTGAGTGTTAGAGCCCAAACCAATAAACCATCTGACTTAAAGACGCAGCTGGGGCCCAGCCCTGTAGCCTCTGTAGCCAGATCCCAGGTGATCAGCCATAGTTCAGATCCTGTCCCCCCACCCCACCCTGGCGGCTTGAAAACCCACTGGATGCATATGTGTGTGCCCTGGGTCCTGACGAGGCGACAGGAGAAGGGAGCGTGGCATGACCACTCTGGGGGTGCTATTTCTCTCTGGGAGTGCACGCCCCCTCTGCAACTAAGACACAAAAAAGAAACCGTGCAGAGGGACAGGAGAGAGTCTGTTTAATAACTGGTGTGTGGCACAGCTGGCGAGCCATCACTGAGCCCCAGAGGAGCAGGGAGATCTGTGTTGTGCAGATGGCCCCGTGGAGGGGCATGAAGCCCGAAGGTGACCTCGTGCTGGGACCTGCAAGACCCATCTGTCCAGGTCCTTCCGTCCCTCTGCACAGGGCAGGACACCTGTCACACAACGTCTTCCGGGGAGAGCGGGAACGGCTTCCCTGCCTGCGCTGCGTCCTCAGTTCCCAAGGCACTTGTGTCCTGCCCGTCGCCTCAGTGAGCCTCAAGAGGGCACGTTGCCCTGCTCCGTGGCTCAGAGCGGGTTCTCGTACCTGCTGAGGCTGGAGAGCTGCTCCCGCAAGGCGCGGAAGCACGGCCTGTGCCCAGGGTCGCCGTGCCAGCAGGAGAGCATCAGTCTGTGCACGTGGGGCGGGCACTGTGGGGGGCAGGGCATGCGGTAGCCGGCTTCCACCCTCAGGAAGGCCTCGTGATTGGACATGCCTGCCACCAGAGGAGAGGGGGAGCTGGGAGGAGGTGCCCCCTCTGCCACCACCCCCAGGAAGCCACCCAGCCTCTTTCCTCCAGGGAGCTGGCCACCCTGTGCCCTCGTCCACCCCAGCCCATGGTGGCCACTGGGGCTGGGTGCTCTGGACTGTAGGCAGGTGTCCAGGTGACAGCCGACAGTCAGCGGCCCTGAAGACCTCGGGGAAGCAACTCTGTCTTTCCTGCTGGCCACTCAGGCCTGCCTCCAGTTGGGGACACTTGCAGGGCCAATACCTGGGTAGGGCACCTGGCCCCTGCTGAAAATCTCGTGGAGCAGGACCCCAAAGGACCAGACGTCAGACTTGGTGGAGTAGAGCCCGCGGGCCAGTGCCTCGGGGGCCGTCCACTTGTAGGGGACGTTGTGGTTGTGGGAAAGGTAGGTGTCCTCCTGCAACAGCACACCTGGGTGAGGCCACTGCCATGCCCTCCAGCCTCCCAGCCTATGCAAGGAAGGCATGGCTACTGCCCCAGCAGGGCGGGGACCCAGTGTCCGGGCTCTGCCGCTGGAGGGCGCCCCACCCACACTGTTGTCCAGCACTGGGGAGAGAGGGCTGCTGGGTGGACCCAGGCTGCCCTGACTGCCCCCACGGAAATGCAGCAGCAGGACAGGTACAGAGGGGCAGCAAGAGCCCAGCTGGGCCTGGGGGAGTGGATCGCACCCAGTCCTAGCGCCCATCACAGCCTTCCGGACCCCAGCACTTCACGCGGAGCTCCCGGGCTGCCTAGGCCTGAGTGCCCCGCAGGCCCTACCTTGATGAGTCTGGCTAATCCGAAGTCCCCGACTTTGCAGATGTTGTTCTCGCCCACGAGGATGTTCCTGGCCGCCAGGTCTCGGTGGATGTAGTTCTGTGACTCCAGGTAGGACATGCCTTCGGCCACCTGGGACGCGATGTCCACCAGCTCTGAAACGGGCAGGTCCTTCTCAGCAGAGTCTGCCAAGGGGAGTGGAGGCCAGTCAGCTGGGCCACCAGGCCAGGTCCCATCTCCAGGAGCTTCGGCCAGGAGTGGTGGGCCTCGCTGCAGTGGGGGCCACCGTAGGGCCTCTGGAGGGCTCCCAGGAGCCGGAGGCCACCACGCCCACAGCCCGCAGCTTCCCCTGGATCTAGATAATGCAGCCTGTGCACCAGTGGGACCCCACGGAGGTTCGGAGCGGGCTGTCTGTGGGGGAGTGTGTGGGGCTCATGAGTGTCACGTCTCATGACGTGGAAATTGCTTGTGATAGTCAAGCTTATTATGGGAGAACCACAGGGTACAAAATTTCACATTCAGGGTGCGCCAAACATCCGCACGGCATGGCCAAGTACAGACGTGTCCGCAGCCCTGCGTGTGTGTGGTGGGGGTCTGTTATCCTGCATGGTGGGGGTGAATGAGCCACAGATGGTTTTGTGTGTGTGTGTGTGTGTGCGCCTGTGAGAAGGCACCTGAGTATGTGTGAGTGTACACACGCTGGTGTATCAGTGTATGTACCTGTGTGCACAAGTGTGTGTATGAGCATGTCAGGGTGTGTATCCGCGGGCATATGTGTGTCCACATGGGCATGTCAGTGTGCATGTATCTGTGCACGTGTGCGTGTGTACACAGGGCACATCAGCGTGTGTGTATGTGTGTGTACGTGTCCATTCAGGTGCCGGAAGGAGGGGCGTCCTGAGACAGGCCGCAGGGTGAGTGGGCCTGGCCAGGCCCCAGCGGCTAGAGCAGCCACCGCGGGCTCAGCGGAGCCTGGCTTCGCTTACTCGTGTGCAGCTAGGTTTTCTCAGGCCTGCTCAGCGACTTGACGCAGAGGCCGCGGGCTGGCTGCACAGGGTGTGGGGTGACCGGCCGTCTGTCTCCTCCTCCTGTCATGCTTTGGCTCGCGAGGGTGTGTGCACGTGCACGAGAGAGATGGGGGCGCCGTCCCTGTCCTCCCGCCAGCGGCCCTGTGCTCTCGCATGCCTGGCGTGTTTCCGGCCGAGCAGCCAGGAATTCAGACCGTGGTTGCCACATGGGATCTGGTGCTCCTGACCGGGGCCCGGCCGCCACGGGGCCCCTGTACCTCGTGCAGCACCCCTGCCTCCGGCAAGCCCATCCCTGCCCCAGAAAGGCGTGGTGCCAGCTCACCCCGCAGCAGCCCCAGCAGGCTCCCCTTGGGCATGAGTTCTGTGATGATGTACACGGGGTCGCCCACAGACGCCACGGCGTACAACGCCAAGATGTGCCTGTGCCGAAGCTGCTTCATGGCCTGGATCTCCGACTGGAACGCGTGCTGGTGCAGAAGGTTGTCTGCAGAGGCCGCCGGCGGTGGGTGGGTGGCCATGGGCCCTCCCCCACCACTGCAGTTGCTGGGAGACGCCTGGACCCGGGAGTCCTGACGCCCCTGCCGGGGCCCGACTGCCCCCTCCACACCCAACTCAGCCTGAGCTCTGGTGGGTGCAGGTGACTTCAGGGATTTTAAGATTTCCAATGACCTACGTATTTTTTTAAAGAGAGATTTTTGCTATAGGGCATACGTGGCTCACTGGAGAGACAGAAAGTGAGAAATCACCCTGGGGGATGGCCACAACACCGGGATTTTGAGCACGCATGCACACACACCCAGCATGAGTTTTAAACCCCTGGGTCTGGGACTCGAACTGCAGTCGACTAGATGGAAGTACAACGACATAACCATTAGGCCATCTGCTGGTCCTGACCTTCCCATCGCACTGAGGACTTTAAACGCCCTGAAAGATAAACAATGTAGGTGCAGCCACAGTGCAGTGGCGAGCGCTGCAGGTGCCGCTGGGGCACAGGGTTCCTCCAGGGCCCTGCCCAAGTGGGACGAGGCCAGGGCTTGGCAAGGGAGGGACGCATGGCCAGGCTGAGCCTTTGGTGTGCAGCCACTCACCTCGGGAGAGCACCTTAATGGCCACTCGCACTTGGTCTTTCCAGAGCCCTTCAAAGACCTCGCCGAAGTAGCCAGACCCCAGCTTCCTGCAGAGCCTGAACTCCTCCCGCGGCCTCTCCCAGTCGTCCCAGTGGGGCAGGGGCTCTGGCTCATGCTGGGGAGACAGGGTTGGGGGAGGGATGCCGGCCCTGGTCACCACCTGTCCTCTGGGTGCCCGCTCAGGCCCAGCCCGGCTGGGGTCCTTGAGCTGTCCTCAAATTCTGGGCATGTTCAGCTTCGGCAGGTCTGAGCCCTGCATGTGGCTAGGCTTTGCCAGGACTGCCCTAGCCTGGCCGGCCCCCAGACACACCCGCCACCCCTAGCCTGCAGGCGCGCCGCGGACCTCCCACACCCAACTCAGCCTGAGCTCTGGTGGGTGCAGGTGACTTCAGGGATTTTAAGATTTCCAATGACCTACGTATTTTTTTAAAGAGAGATTTTTGCTATAGGGCATACGTGGCTCACTGGAGAGACAGAAAGTGAGAAATCACCCTGGGGGATGGCCACAACACCGGGATTTTGAGCACGCATGCACACACACCCAGCATGAGTTTTAAACCCCTGGGTCTGGGACTCGAACTGCAGTCGACTAGATGGAAGTACAACGACATAACCATTAGGCCATCTGCTGGTCCTGACCTTCCCATCGCACTGAGGACTTTAAACGCCCTGAAAGATAAACAATGTAGGTGCAGCCACAGTGCAGTGGCGAGCGCTGCAGGTGCCGCTGGGGCACAGGGTTCCTCCAGGGCCCTGCCCAAGTGGGACGAGGCCAGGGCTTGGCAAGGGAGGGACGCATGGCCAGGCTGAGCCTTTGGTGTGCAGCCACTCACCTCGGGAGAGCACCTTAATGGCCACTCGCACTTGGTCTTTCCAGAGCCCTTCAAAGACCTCGCCGAAGTAGCCAGACCCCAGCTTCCTGCAGAGCCTGAACTCCTCCCGCGGCCTCTCCCAGTCGTCCCAGTGGGGCAGGGGCTCTGGCTCATGCTGGGGAGACAGGGTTGGGGGAGGGATGCCGGCCCTGGTCACCACCTGTCCTCTGGGTGCCCGCTCAGGCCCAGCCCGGCTGGGGTCCTTGAGCTGTCCTCAAATTCTGGGCATGTTCAGCTTCGGCAGGTCTGAGCCCTGCATGTGGCTAGGCTTTGCCAGGACTGCCCTAGCCTGGCCGGCCCCCAGACACACCCGCCACCCTTAGCCTGCAGGCGCGCAGCGGACCTCTGGCCGGCCAGGCTTGAGGGTGGCTACGGGGTACATCTCTCCACTCAGCAGTGCTTGCCCACCCCACGGCCACCACCCAGCCCAGCAGGACCCTCACCCACCCTGCCCTGCTGGCCTTCTTGGCTGGCATCTGCTCCTCCAGCTGCCCCAACCCACCTTCCAGCAGGGCACTGTCAGCCGGAGGCCGGGGGACAGGCTCTGGGCCCGGTGGTAGTCCAGGAGCTCCGGCAGGCTGGGAAAGGATACCGCCTGGTTCAGGTGCAGCCGGCCTCCCGGGCCCCGCCAGATCTTGTAGTGCCGAACGGCCTGAGCATCCCGCACTGGGGCCGAGCAGAGGGAGGAGGGAGGCGCTGAGCCGGTGCCAGGGCTCCGCCGGCCCCCTGCCGCCTGGGGCCACTCTCCAGCCCACGGGGTCTCTACAGCACAGCCGGGGCTCTGCCCCGCACTCCCAGGCTCTCGTATGTGCACACAGGGACACCGTGGGGTCCCTCACGGGTGGTCAGTGCTTCCTGCACAACCCTACCCCTCAGGAGCTTGAGGCTCAGGAGACACCCTGCCCATGCCCAGTCCAACCCAACCACGCCTGGTCCTGCCTAGCCGCCAAGCAGGGCTCCCCGCGTCCACTGGGCTCATCAGAGCCCTCGGGTAAGGGCTCGAAGCCCGGCCGGTTGAGGGCGGGGCCAGGAAGGGGCGCACCTGAGAGGACATAGTCTGCCCCTGGCTTCTCGCTGGCTCTGACCAGGAAGGCCCCGGTGGCGTTGCCCTCGGCCTGCAGTCGGTGCATGGCTTCCGAGCGGGAGATGTGGCCGACTGCCAAGACGAGGCAGCCTGAGGCCAGGGACCCAGGACTAACCCTAACCCTAACCCCGCCCCCAGAGCCCCGCCCCCAGCCGCCATCTGCCCGTCACAGACTGAACATGCCTTGTAGCGGTTACAGACACCAGGAGAAGTCCCCGTGACCTCGGGGCAGCACTGCCCACCGCCTTCCCTGGTGGCTCCCCTGTGGGTCAGAGCCACCCACACAAAAGGACATGCAGTCCTATCACATGGACACACGCCTCCAACTTCAGCCACAGATGCTGCTCTTGGGGGGGCGGCAGGCCCAGAGCTCTTGGGACTGCCTCCCCACACGCATGCATGTGTACTTGCACACGTGTGTACATGTGCCTTCCCACACACATGCATGTGTACTTGCACGTGCATGTACATGTGCCTCCCCACAGGCACACAGTGTACTTGCACATGTGTGTACGTGTGCCTCCCCACACGCATGCATGTGTACTTGCACACGTGTGTACATGTGCCTCCACACACATGCATGTGTACTTGCATACGCGTGTACATGTGCCTCCCCGCAGGCACGCACGTGTAGTTGCACACATGTGCACATGTGCCCCCCCACATGTGCTTGCACGTATGTACATGTGCCTCCCACACGTGCATGTGTACTTTGTACACATGTGCACATGTGCCTCCCTACACACATGTGTTTGCACACATGTGCACATGTTCATACCCCCATGCACAGACATGTACACATACTTGCACCCACCGACATGCACATGTGCGTAGACACACGTGAACTGCACCCATGCACACAGTCATCACATACACATGCGTTCACTAGCAGGCACTGTTCACACTCATGCACACACATACACACACACACACACATGCTCGCACTGACCCCCAACATGAAGGCAGGGTGGAGCCCTGGGCTGGCCTTAGAGCTGCAGAGCTTTGCGGACGCCCTCTGTCCTCTCTAGGTGTCTTCATGAGAACCCCGCAGGGCCCACCCAGGGGCTCGGGGCTCTCCCTGCCTGCCCCCCATCCTCGTGCTGGGTCTTCAGGGCCTTTGCAGCTTTCGTACGCCCAGCCCGCACTGTCCCCACTTGCTCGCCTGCCCTGGGTGACCCGCGTGTGCTCCTGACGCCGTGCAGATAGCACTGTCCGAGCAGTAGGCTCGTGACACGAGGCGGACCTCAGGGCTCCCTCCCAGCCCAAGCTGAGTGGCCCAAAAGTGGGACCCTCAGGTGGCTGTGGGCACGCCCAGCTAGTCGGCACAGCTGCTGCCACGCCCGCATCCACCCACAGGTGTGTCCCAGGGCTTCCCCGCTGCTCTAACTAGGTCGCACGTCTGGTTCCGGCTGTTTGGAAAGTGAGTGAACTTCACTTGCCCAGAGACCTTTGGCCTCCCACGCGGCCTGCGCCTAGTGGCCGGCCGCCAGGAAGCCCACCGGGGCCCTCCTGTCACACCCTGGGTCCTGGCAGAGTGGCACCATGCCATGTGACTACGAGTGGCTCTGGAGGGTTCCACACCTTCTGTGCCCTCCTCCCCAGACATGCCACAGTGACAGTCCGTCAGGCCCCTAGGGACAGGGACGATGGAGCCCAGGGGCGGGGCCCACCGTGACCAGTTCTGACAGTGGGGAAGGCTGAGCCAGGGCTCCCTGCCACCCCGGCCCCCCAGCTCCGAACTCCGGGCCCGACACTCACGGCTCAGACTCCACAGTGTCCTCTTCAGCCAGGTAGTTGTGAGGCACGTAGCCCTGAGCCAGGGCCCCGCCCACCGCGTCTAGCAGCGTGGCCCACCACCACTGCTCCTCCTTTCTGACCACGTGGAAGAGGTCCCCTGCCCGGAAGCTCAGCTCCTCCTCCGTCCGGGCCTGGAAGTCCCAGAGGCCCACATACCTGGGGCCCAGGTGAGCCATGGCGGGCTGGCACAAGTCTTGGCCAGGCCTGGCCCTGGGCACCTGCAGCTGGGAGGGCTGTGGGCCATCCCTCTGACAGAGTCCCCGCCCACTTCCTCATGACGAGTCATGAGCCAGCTGTGCCAGTGCCCACGGGGAGCGGCCTCCTCTGGCTCTGACTGCAAGGACCTGGCCAGGGCTCCAGTCAGGGAGCAGGGACAGCCCTGCACCAGCGGTGGGCACACGGGGCAGCGGGACCTGCTGGGGGGGTGGAGCCAGGGAGTGCGGAGAGGGGGTGGTGCCACCTCCCCCCCAGCCCACAGGACAGTGTCCCCCACTGGCCCACCTTGGCTGACTGATTCAGGAGCTGGGAGGCAGTAGGGCAGCTGGGGCCATCTCCCTCGAGGGCCCCCCACAGCAGACCTGGCAGGAGCCAGCGAGGCTGGGCTGGGTCCGAAGAGGAAGCTGACAGGGAAGGAGCTGGCGTCCTGCCCACCTGGCTGGCCCGGGCCTGGGCTCCCCCCTTCAGGAGTGAGGGTGCCCATGACTGTGCACCCATGAGTGAGGACACCCAGCAGCCCATCTGCCCTGAAGGGGCCAGCCTAAAAGGCCTGCCGAGCTCTGCCTGAGCCAGACCAGGCTGCGCCAGGACCCAGCAGCCAAAGGGACCCACGGGGAGTGAAGGCGTGTGGAGGCCAGGGCAGCCCCAAAGGAGTTCCTGCAAGAGGCAGGCTCAGTTTGGGTAGTGGTAAAGACAGTGGGGTGGGTGGAGTGGGCTCCCAGGAGGTGAAGTCCCCCAGGAGTGGGGCGGGGTCCACCAGAGGTGGCAGAGCCTGTGCAGCTCTGCTGTGGACAGGACACTGCCCTCCCTGACACACAGCAGGTCAATGTGCCCGCACTGCCAGGGCCCAGGCTGCAGCGCCTGCCCACCCCCCAGCCCCAGGCCCTGCCCTCCCTTGGCTCACTCCCCCCACCCCACTTGCCCCGACAGCCCCCACTGAGCCCTCCCAAGGGCCCCTCTGAGACTCAGACGACCCGTGACCACCCCCGCCCTCTGCCGACCCTGCAGTGTCCACCCATGCGCCTGGGCCCACTCTGGCAGGACGAGGGGCAGAGGGGCCGGGAAGCGGCCGCCCACAGCACACAGGAAGGCCACACGGACTCTGACGGGGACTCCCTATACTGAGGGGAGGCCCAGCTCCCTCGACCTCGCGTGAGGGCGAGGTTCGGGATGCGGGTCACTTAGCCGGTTCACAAACGGCCTTCCCACTCCATTCTGATCAGGTCAGGAAGGGCAGAAAGGGCTGTGAGGGAGGTTGGAGGTCAGAGGGACGCAGGTGAGGGACGGCTGGGTGTCCAGCTGGTTGACATCTGTGGGGCCCAGGGAGCCGTTGCCGCTGTCTCCACTGTCCAGTGGCTTCGGCCCGAGGCCTCTACTCCATGGCCGGATGTGGACGTGTAGGAGGCTCCCCTAAGCCACTCCGGGAAACAGAAGCGTCCGGCCCCTCCCAAGACCCGAACCTGTCAAGCCTGTGGCTGACGGGATGGGTGCCAGAGGTGGGGGGGGGGCCGGAGGCCTCTGCTCTGGCCTGCCAGAGGGCGAGGCCTTCATGCTGGCCAGAGTCTGGGAGCGCCCCTGCAGGCCAGGGCACGGTAGCAGCTCAGCTGGCCGGTTCCCTCCCTACCTGCAGGCCCCACCCGGCCCCCACAGCCCTAGGACACCCACACCAGCCATCGCCTCCGGCTTTGCTTGGGCTGCCCCAGACACCAGGTTCCATCCCTGCCGCTTCCCTCTGCCCTCGCCCAGCTGTGCAGGGGTATACCCCCACCTAGGCCTCCTCCAGGAAGCCTCTGCCCGTGGGCCTGGTTCTCTGGGCCGGCTGTGCAGGGAGTCCTCCACCCAGGCCTCCCCGTGAGCCTCGCTCTCTGGGCCCTGAGCAACCTCTCTGCTGCCCCGGGAGGGAGCACTGTTCTTTGCACAGGCCAGTTCCAGTTCGCAGCTCCTGCCCACGCAGCCACGGGTGGCCAGTGGTCTCAGGACACGCAGACCGAGTGCCGAGGGCCACCCTCAGGGACAAGAACTGGACGGAGACTGGATGGAGCAGGCCTGGCACGTCTCCGCTGTCCTTCCCCAGAAGCCTCAGGGCATAGCCGCAGGCCAGGCTCCCAGGGCTGTGAACGTACACTCCCCAGCTCTCATAAGCCACCTCGGGCACCTTCTTTGGCCCCTGGCCCCTTGACTTGTCTCACAGTGACCAGAGACAAGCGTGCAGGCCTCAGGCACCTCTGGCTCCCGAGGAGCCACACGGGAACCTCTGTCCCCAAGGTGGCTGCTCCCAGCGGCCCGTGCAGCAGGCACCACCCGCCCAGTCTAGCCACTGCCCATCTGAGATCTCGCTGGCCACTGAGCCACTGGCCTGACCAGCCCCTCCAGTCATTCGAGCCCGGGCACCCCACTCTGACCCAGGATGATGGACAGGGCTATCAGCAAAGCACTGGCCTCCAGCAAGCCCTCCAGCACTGCATCTGTGCCCGTCCTGGGTGCCGAGGTGCTCGGGGCAGGGTCTGGCCTGGGGGTTAGCTTGCTCTCCGACCTCCCCCCCTCCGCTTCAGCCTTCCTGGAGGCTTCCCTGAGCCTGTGGGCAGCATGTCAGCACCTGGGGTCAGCACCCACTGCACCCGCGAGTGTGCACGGTGTGCGAGGGTGCAGGTCCTGTGACAGAAGGTCAGTGCTGGGCCTGCCTGTGAGCCCCAGCACTGGGCACTGCAGGGCACCCACAGGGGGCCTTGGGGAACCTGGGCCTCCAGCTCTGGTCTGGGCAGAGACTACGCCGGGTCCATGTCCCCCTGCAACGCCATTCACACTTTGCATGCTGAGTTCATCCCTCACGAGACCCAAGGGACACAGGTCACGCTGGGCAGAGGATCTTAGCTCTACTGCTGCCTGGGTGGTGTGTCTGCCTCGTGCACGCACATCAGCCCCACTCTGTGAGGCCCACAGCCAGAGGCTGCACGTGTGGGCTGGCAGCGTTCCCTGCTGGCAGCAAATGCTGTCTTGGGGACACCCTATGCGGAGAGTGGTCCCAGCCTGGGCCGGGGTCAAGGGAGCGAGTGATGGGGGCACCTGTGCGTGGTGCCCAGCCTGTGGTGCAGAATGGCGAAGGCGGGCCGCTCCTCGGGGCTGCCACGTCCGCACTCCAGCATGAGCATGTAGACCTCACAGGGCAGGCCGCGGGGCAGGGCGGGCCGCGGGGCAGGGCAGCCCGTTAGCCCCGCCTGATCTGCTGCAGCGTCTCATGGTTGGTCCTTCCTGGGAAGGAGCCCATGAGTGGGACGACCTCGCCTCTGCCTGCCGCACCCCCGCCTGCCTAGGGCTGGGCCCTCCACCGCCTCGCACCTCCGTAGGGGCACTGGCTGTCGGTGAAGACCTCGTACAGCAGGGTGCCGAAGGACAGACGTCCGACTGCGGGGAGGAGACTCGGTGGACGGCTACCTCCGGCACTGTCCTCCTGATGGAGATCTCAGAGCTGCTGGGGGAGTACAAACCCTCCTGGGCAAGGGGAGGCTGGGTGACTGGAGTGCCTGCCCTGCCCTGCCCTCCCAGGACCCACGGACCTCGAGCAGCCACACCAGGCCGAAGCCGGCCGACTGCAGCCAAGGTCCTCGCCCACAAGCACCTTCCTGGTGGTCAGGCCGCAGAGCACCACACGCCGCTCCTCCAGGTAGCTCCTGCCCTCGACCACCTGGCTCGCGAAGCTCAGCAGACGGGGCAGGCTCAGGGCCCGACCCTTGGGGCCTGTAGGGCAGAGGGGACAGGTCCCCAGCGCTCTGTGGTTGGCGTCCTCCGTACCAGGCCGCCATCGGTGCTGCGGGAGGGAGTCCTGCACCCCAGTGGTTGGTGGGCTGCTGCGTGGCAGAGAAAAGCTAGAAGAGAGGGGAGCCCCGGGAATGGGCTGGGTCCATGTGACCTTCCCCAGAGAATGGTGATCCAGAGAGGAGCCCTCCTTCCTGGACCCAGCCCCAGCCCTGGAGCCACGAGGCTCTGACCTTCCCATAACTAAGTCTAGGCCTGGCCCGACCCCAACCTCCACCCCGACAGGCATGGGCGCCTCAGCCCAGGTCGCCCTCTGAGGCTGGGGACCCCACTGGCTAGGAGGGAGGCGAGCGGACACTCATTGCCCACGTCGGCCTGCGGGCTGCCCTGCGTGAGAGTTCAGTGCCCACGTCGGCCTGCGGGCTGCCCTGCACATGAACTCAGTGACAACGTACCAGGTTCCCCTGGTGGGAACACGTGATGTGCAGGCTCTGCAGCACCCGGATGTCCTTGGCGAGGTTGGGGCCCCTGAGCACGCCCTGTGGGCCTGCAGGGATGTGTCTGGTGTCTCCGTGGGGCACGGCTAATGGCACTGTGCACGGTCAGCCCTCCCATCTCCGTCTCCGGCCCAGACGGTCATTAGCTCTCCCTACAGCAGACCTGCCCACCCCGCCCCAGCCCTACAGCCCTGGCCTACCCTGCCCTGCCCTGCTCACAGGTCTGTCCTCACCTGGGATGCCCGAGAGCCTCTGCATCAGAATGGCCACTCAGCCGGCCACCCTCAGAACAAGGGGCTGGGACTGCCACCAGAGCCAGCTCCCAGGACTCTGGCTTTGCCCACGATGGTGACCCCAGGAGCCCGCAGCCTGAGCCAGCTGAGACCCATGGGTGGCCGGGTCTGCTCCTCAGCAGCCCCTGGCCTGTCCTCGTCCAACCTGCCCACTGGTGCTGAGCGGACACCTCTGCTCCGAGGTCCCCCAGCCAGGGGCAGTCTCGGTGGGGGCAGCCCCACCACAGTGCCCGCCAGCCAGCCACATCCAGGACGGGCGGGCAAGGGCTGCGTCCCAGCATCTGATTCAAAGGCTTGAGGCCCTGCACTGTGTCTACATGGTGAAGCAGGGCCCAGGGGCCACCTCCTCCAACAAGCCCCAGAAAACCCTTCCCTCCATGGTCAAGATCCCCACGTGGGAATGACAGTGTGTGTCATGGCTGTCACTGGACTCCCACATAGCTGACTGCAGCTTGAGTCCCAGACCCGGCGACTTAAAACTCACACAGTTTGCGTGCGTGCCCAAGATCCCAGGAGGAGAACGGAGGAGAAGGGATTGCGACGCGGCCATCCCCCATGGGGGTGATTTCTCACCTCATCTCTCTGTCTCTGTCTCTCCAGCGAGCACACACGCACAATAGCAAAAAAAAATCTCTCTCTTAAAAAAGAAATCGTTACACAAGCAGTCTGGCACCACATGCCGCCCTGAGCTGCGAGCTGCACCAGCCTGGAGCCCCAGGTGCCCTGGAGCCTGGGGATGGGCCTCACCGCAAGCCTCGGGCCAGGCAGGCTGACTTTACTCCTCTGCCCCAGCCCCTGTTCCCCACACTGCCCCAGCTCTCCCAGACTGGGCTGCTGTCCGCTCCTGCCAGCCCTGGCCTTGCCAGCTCTTGTCCCTCCTCATGGCTCCCCACGGTGGGTTCAGGCCTGTTCCCCTCTCACTCAGCAGCCCCACCTGGTCCCCTCTCCCTGTGCTGAGTCAAAGCTGGCCCCCATGGCCCGCTCACCGTGTCCCCCTACCTGGGCAGGTGAGGGGCCACTCCTCACTCACTGGGTGCCTGAACAGTTCTGGAGGCTGGAGGGCCATGTCTAACCCTGGAGCTGGCCCAGGGTGTCTGGGTGAGTGTGGACGGTGAGGACAGCGGGTTCTCGTCATGCTCCATGCCTGCCGCAGCCCTGTGCTCCAAGCAGAGGCTCAGTGAATGCCAGGGAAGGGCAGGAGGCTGACCACCACCTTGCTGGGCACCTGGCCTGGACACCTCCCTCCCAGCTGCAGCAGAGCAGGGTGCCATCCCTCCAGGTCCTGCTCTGGCCCAGCGGTTGGAGGGCCAGGAACCAGCTGGTGCTGAAGGGACGTGGACACGCAATGCCCACCAGGACACCCTGCCCTGACTCCGGTCTGGCCCTGGGGCCGGGAGGCTCTGGGCGCTGAAGCCAGGTACTCACGGCTGGTGGGATGGCGTCTCTGGAGTGGCCTTGGTGATGTGGGTTATGGGCACGAGCCTGGTGCCAGGCTGGCCCAAGAGCCTGCGGGCAAAGATGCAGCCGTCCTCCTCCCTGAGAGCAAAGAGCTTGTCCCGGTGGCTGGCGCTCGGCTCC